TAAAATTTCCATTCTGCTTGTTGAGTGTTCAAGTTCTCTAAATGTTCTACCTTTATTTTTATGCCCTTGATTGGTATAGAGTTATCATTTTAAAGCTGGGTAGAAAACACCATTAGCTCAAGCTCTGATAATCTTTGTATAGTAGGAGAGATGTGGATATTACACAGGATATCATATAGCAGACTTTTCTACTAAGCTAATGTAATGGTAACTTTGGGTCCTGGCCCTCAGGCCTCCTCTCAAGTGGCACCACACCCAACTACTGACCTATTTTAATTTATCTTGCTTTTCTTGGATCTTCTTCATGATGACAAAAACTTTTATGACTTCAGTTGTTTATATAGAATGTGCCAGAATTCCTACTTGAAATTTAGTTAAGCATTCAGGCTTAGAGAAATCTTATTGTTCTATAGGTAGATTAATTTATGCTAAAACTTAGTACTAAAACTCTTTGAGCAGTTTTGCTAGTTTCTTGAAGTATGAAGTTTTATCATAGTACCCTTTACCTTTGACCCTTTACCACACTCTGTGGCCACATGGAATGGAATACTTTGAAACTTATCCCTTACCTTTTCACAGTCTGTGTGTTTCTCCTGGTATTAGCTAATATCCTAAATAGAAAGATCCTCAAGGTATCTATCCAATTTCTCTGGTTTTCTTCCTAGGGATTATCATAAAATGATTCCTCGTTATTTCTGTGGATCCTTGATATTTTAGAAGGAAAAAAATACTAGAAGTAAGTATTTACAAGCTTCTTAATTTCCATAATGAGGCAACTGAATCCACCATTGATTAAGAGTAATAGAAATATATTCTATGCTTTGATTCCTGGAAAAAATTTCCCTTTCCATTTGCACATTCTGTTCTTTCTAGGGTAAGATTGATTGCCTAGAGAATTAAAATTGTTTCTTATGCAAACTTACCTTTTAAAAATCTCAGTGCTAATTTTAGAAAACAACAATAGGAAGTTTTGATCTACACTGAATCATAATCCATTTTCTTTACCTACTGTAATGATAGTGGTTTAGTCTGTGTATGTTTTAAATGTTTTTTAATTGTTATCTCAATATTAGCCACCCTCCCAAAATTGATTTCTTGGACATTATTGACTTTCTATAACTCACTAGTATTAAAAATTCATTAAAAATATTCAAATAAGTACTAATTAAGGTTTATCCTTACCCTTCGGTTTAACTACAATTTTGAGCTATTTACTTGTCTTTATTATGCATAATTATCATTTTATGAATTATCTTATTTCCTTGATCCTATGTGTCTTTAGTCATTATATAACAACTTATTTATTGTTACTTTATATGCCTTTTCTTTATGGTTTGAAAGTCAAAAGAATTACTTGGTATATTTCTAAGAAATACCGATTCCTTTCAAATCACAGCCCTCTGATGATTTTCACTGAAGCATCTTTCTGGTACCCTACAACTCTGACTTACTTATGTGTTCACTTTGCAGTGCCAGAGCCAGAACACCATATTCAATGGAAAAAAAGAATGTTCAGTTTTTCATTTTGCTAGTCTCACTAACTTCCTAATCAGAGGCTAAGCTGAAAAGAGTTTAACATATTTTGTATATAATTTCCTTCATCTCCACAAAACCAAACAGCTCTTCTATTTTATTTGATTCATATAGAGTAGCATGTAAATCAAAAATATTAAAAGATGACTTTGAGAACCAATGGTGCAAGGTAGACACCCAAGGCTAGAGCTTGACAATTCCTTACAAATTCAGTCATTTTTGTGTTTTGCTTATTTAAGTTCATTGTTTCTGCTTCTGAGAGCTGGCATCATCAGGACAGGGAACCGCTGTTGCAGATTGCATCTTTCATTCTAATATCTTATATTTTACAAAAAAAAATCAAAATTATTTAGTTTTTACTTATAGTTTTTATATTTTGATATGTTTTGATGTAGATTTTGTTTATATTGTTTTACAACTTCCATCTACCTAAATTTATAATATCAATGCCATACCATTGACTTTTTTTATTCCAGGTTTGATATTCTGATTTACATCCAAATTCCAGGATATATTAATTTCTTTCACCATATTTCTGTCATCTATATCCTCCTTTACATCACTAGTGGAACAATTCTAATATAACCTCTATATCCCTTGTTAAGCTATTTCTAAAGTTCATTCTCTCTGATCCCAATATCAACATCACATTTTCAATTTATGCAATAATCTCCTTATGATTTAGGTCAATATTAATAATTCCTTGCTTTCTGCCCTGAAGTGTGATTCTTCCCATGATGGTTTTCAAACCTATCTATTCATTGTTACATTTTGTCTATTGAGTTTTATGTGAAGTTTATGGCTTCCCTCACTAACTATTTGTTAGAATACCTGTGATCTCAGATGTACTCAGTATATATTTATTTGTAACATCTAACCCATCTGGTCAATATCTCAAAGGAAAGCATAATGGGTATCTTCTTTTTCCTACCTTATGGACTGTCACATGGTTACAGTGATTCATTTGTCTCTGTACTCTTATAATCTTGTGCTATACTTAGAATCCACCATGACGGCACACCTTACCAGCAGGAAGTAGTTTGGAAAGAATGACGCACAAATTCCCAAATATTGTCTATAAATGTTTGTTTTCATTTAAATGGACTTGGTTATAAAAAAAAGAGATTACAGAAGGTAGTAAACTCCCTTAAGCTTAAAAAAAAAATGTGTTATAGATGTCCCCATGCTTCTTCTCTGTCCTTGTCTATAGGCACTTGCAGCTGAAATGGAATTACTTGGCTTTGCCCACCCTGAGTGTCTGGCAAAATGCCTGGCCCACAACCGAGGCTCAACAATTTATGGAATAAATTGGTGGGTGTATAAATAAATAGGCAAGCTGAGAATCATAAAACAACAGGAAAATGACTACCCTGGCATCGCTAAAATTTACTTACAAGATTCTAATGGGAGAAGTTGAGGGTAATGGAGTAACAAACATAATATTATCTAAGAATTATTTCATGTTGATGAGGTGAATGAGTGAGAACATTTGCCAGCATGTCTACTTTGGTGGTCTCAGGGGCATAACCTTATCAAGTACTAACTCTGACAAAGGGTATAGAAAACTCTTCTTTGTGATTTGTTGAGATTAATTTATTGGCATAATGATTAAGTGAATACATTAAAATGTATACTATTATACTGAATAAGTCAAGAGATATTTTAAGCAATATTAGTCTGGAAAATAACAGCTATTCTCAAGATGAAAAGATGAATATTTAATGTATTTGTCTGTCAGAGGATTTTAGAATGCAAACCACCCAGTATATCTGTGTGGATTTAACAACACACTGGCATTTAGCTGGTCATTCACATTCACTGATAAGTAGCTACTTTCTCTGAAAAGTAGTTGTAGACCACTGAGAAAAGACCATCTTCCTGCAAGGTCCTTTGGATCATTTCAGCCTTTTCAGGTTTGCAACTATCTTAGACTGTGTTCTGCCTTTGGCATTTGAGAGGAGAGCAAGCTCATGCTGATCAAATGCAAATGGTTTTTTAAGCAGCCTCAAAATAGCAAGAGGTTTTATTTAAAATACTCAGCTTGACTTAAAAGTGAGAAAGATTTAAAAATTTAATATTTCTATTTCCAGGGAGAAAGGACCATTGTTGGCATTCAAAACCTGTTATTATTTAGCTAGACTTTCAGATTTCATCTGTATAACTTTTTATGCTTTATGCAAGCTTCTATGAATACTTATTTCCCCAAACATTCTCCCTGCCTTTTAGTTTTTGCTTAGTGAAATTAAAATATAAATTACATTATCTTCATCCTTTACTTTTCTCCCTCCAACCCTTTGCTTCATTCCCTAATGCCTCCAGGATTTCTCTCAAATACACACACACACACACACACACACACACTGTATTTTAGGTTTAATGGCAAATAACAGTTTAAATGGGTAATGGCTGATGGGCCCTCACAGATTTCATTTTCATGTGGTGGCAAGAGGCAGCAGTGCCTTGCTCCTTTCCACTTTTACTCCCCTTGAGTTATGATTCTGCCCCCTCTCCTGTGTTTGTTCCTTTTATATATTTCAGTATGTTTTACTATCAGTATTCTGGTGGCTGAGAAGATAAGGATCCTTGTCCTCAGCCTCTCTCCCTGAATTCCACCCCTTGAATGCACATGATAGAAATGAAAACTGAGTCCCCAAACAACTTACCCTATGACCTTGTGTGTAAATGTTTTCTCTCTCACTCTTCTTCCCCTCTGTCTTTCACACAAATAAATTTAAATAAAATAATATAATAACTTGCTGATTACTGCAAAATGTCTGCCTTTAGCATGCTACCAAAATAAATTCTACCAGGAAACAAAATAAAGTTTATACTTGTGCATAAACAATACTCCTGACAACTGTTCTTTCTTTACAGCTTTCAGTTACCTGTAAGTCTTCTACAAGGGATAGGACTTATTGCCCATCTCCTCTCTCCTTGCTGGTGTGGCTTAAGGTATCATAGGGCTTGTAACTGCTCTCATGTCCAGTTCTGTGAGTTTATGTATATTAATTATGATGAGTTACTTCTTTGGGTTTTAAAATTTCCCTACCCTCTATCCCCCTCTTCTAGAATCAGCCCTGTGAATTTCATAAATCTATAAGCAAATGGGTGGCACCAACCTGCTTTGATACGTTTAAAAAGAAGACATAATTTGGGTGGGTACAGAAGGGGGAGTTGAACTGGGAAAAGTTGGAGAAGAGAGTGAATATGGTCAAAACAGAGAAGAAATTCTCAAAGATGTGTTTTGAACAACAAATCCTACCCAAGTACAGAGTTCAGTGCTTGTTTTGTTGTTGTTGTTTTATTTTTGTGTGTGTGTTTGTTTTTACATGTTGTATATGCTACTTGTAGATATGCAAACATCTATAACAAGTCATGTGCTCTAATGAAATGATGTTTCTCAGGTGTTTAAGAATTTAGTTCACTGAACATGGAGACTGATAACTGCATTTTTCTAAAAAGCAGTTATACTGAGCTGGCTGGGGAGACCCCATAATTAAGAAGGTGATTTTCCCTGGATGAAGCTTATCTATTACCCTTCAAATGTGCTGAACCTGTGATTTCCACTAGTGGGGGAAACTTAACTGTGTAATTTGTGGCAGTAGAGTACTGTAATCATGCTCTCCTCTTACAGGATAAAGGGTTAATTATACAGACATTTTTATTTTCAAGAAATAAAAACTTGCACTGAAATAAATTAAACTATAAAAGAAAGCTTTTTGATTAAGTAGCTATAGTCTAAAATAAACATAGCTTTAAGCAAATTGGAAGTCAAGGAGAAAAAGCATTTCACTAGGACTCTATATCTTTTCTATAATTAAGCTTATTTTAAAACTATTTTAACTCTACACCCATGCTAAGGAATAGAGTATGCATGCTAGAACAGCAATAGCCAGTTGGGGACAAATTGAAAGGACTGAGACAAAGAGGTGTAGTCTCATTCTAGCAATGTATTCACAGACTGACAGATTTACCAAGTAAGAAGCTGTTCTAAAAATAAAAACATGCAGGAATGAGAAGAATCAGCTGCTAGGTCCAATCAGTAACAGCAAAGGCTGTATTGAGCATTAGATGAATGGGACTAGGAAAGTACCTCTGCCAAACTACTACTTTATATCATAACAATAAGCTTATGGGAGAAATTGGCTCCATTGAGAATTAGACTTGGGCAATAAATCCAAAGTATATTCTTGAATGAAGTGTCAACCTTCTTGTATTAAATAAATATCTGAAACACTGGCGCATCCGTTGATTCTTCCCAACAACACTCCTCTCCTTTGGAGAAGTATAGTTTCCATATGTATTCTCTTGTAGGCATAAATATATGACAATAACCCTTCTCAAGATATTGATATTATAACCAGTCTCAAGGTTGAAACTCATGGTTTGAAGAAAATCACCAATAAAAATTATATCTAAACAAGGTGAGGGACTATAGGCAGAAATATTAAGATTAATATTTGTTTATAAATGAGAAGTCTTGTGCCTTAATATGGCTCTACTTTTTAGAGCTATATTACTTCTAAAGAATCTCACATGGAAAAAAGACATTTTTAATTGGAAAGATTGAGTTATGCCTTATTCTAAGTACATTAATATCAAACATCTGAAAAATACATTTGTATTACTGACATGTAGATGGTTTACATGTTTTAGGTTTAATTGAATAAAAAATATTCTCTAGATAGTTTTCTTCAAGGATGCAGCTCCTGAGAGCCTGTGAGTGTTCCACTTGATAGTCTGATACCCATGAACATTCTAGGAGAACGAAGAGGATATAATGTGATTTCTTTTTAGAAGAACAGATGAAATTGGAAGTAATAGAGTTGGTGAATATGGGAGGCAATAGAAAGGAGGAAAAGGAAGCTGAGATTTATCAAAATAAGTTATATACATATACATAAATATAATTTGAATTTTTATTTAAATTCAATGTCCTTGTCATAAGATTTTTAGGTCCTGTCAGTACTCTTCAGAAATCTGTATGACTCTCAGGTAAATTATAAGAGGGACCTGCCTCCTAAGAAAATTAAAAGCCTGTGATGTCATGTACCCAGATAATAGACTTAGCATTAACTAATAATTTTCTTCAAATCAGAAATGTCACCCTGCTCAGGTCATTGGTGTGACCATGACAATGGAAACACTAGTGGGGAAATACATTGTGAAGAGTTAGAACTAACTATAAACCAGTGAAATAAACTGGCTGCATTGATGGCCTTAATTTTGAAAATAATGTCACAACTGTCCCTACTGACTCAACACTGCAGTGGATTAGTTTTGGTTATGGAATAACAACACAAATATTTGAAGCAGAAGCTAAGGTAATTTTATTTTATTTCTCATGTTCCTTGTGTTATTATAGCAGAGCCTGGAATGCCCAGTTGTGTAAGTTGAAACCCAATAAGGCAGGAACAGTCAAGAGGAGCAAAGTGCTTGTAGGTGAGATGAAGCTCTTTCCATCACATGAGTGTGCCTCGACAATGACAATGTGAGTCCCATTTCCATAATATTTACCCAAATCCACAATATTTACTACTATACCATTATGCATCTCTGAGGTCCTGTAGTTCCCTAATAGCAGTATCACTGAAGCAACAGAAGACAGGGCATGGGTACCCAGTTTCAGTTGTGCTTCATTCATGTATTTAATGATTTTTGTGAAGCATCAACTTACAAAAAAATATAGAAGTACATATTCTCTATGATGAAATTACATAAAAATTACATATTTTAGTAACAGGATAGAAAAGTTTGCTTTGTAGATATAGGAGACCTTTACTTGAATTTCTATATCTCTAGGGACTTAATTAAGCATTCTTATTTTATTCTAATTGTAACATCTTTCCCTTTAGGTTCAGAAGGTCATGTAAGACTACTTAATCACTAAGTAAGAGTTTCAGGAAACAAAACATGCGTGTATAAATATATATGTGTATATTAATAAACATGAATATATAATTGTGCATGCATATTTATAAGCATATATAAAGTAGATCTACCAAAAAATGTGCATAAGCAGATACTTCTAAGGAAAGAATGACAGAAAGAAGATGATGTATGATGTCAACATTTTTCTTTTCAAGTTTCATTATTTGTAATGACAAAATATCCTTCTGAGTGCAATTTTTCTTCTACCTTCCAGAGAAATCATATTTAGTATTTGAAAAAATTCAGGGTGTGAGGAATCTATCAATTGTCTTATATCATAGGGATAAATTAGCACCTGAAGCACAAAATATACGTACAATGATGAAGCAAGAGCCAAAGTCTTCCTAGTTGGTGTTATATAATAATTCCTTTGAAAGTTTTCAATAGCTATTACTCAAAGTCTGAGGAGGTAATAGAAGGAGGCTGGAGCCAATACTCTGAGCAGCTGCAGAATGTGAGGGGTCTGAAGGAGATGGTGTAGGCAGAGGAAGGGTGTCTTAGTCCTTGTTATCAGTCTACAATGGTTTCAAAGGACAATTATATAAAATTGCTTATAAAAAAAGTAATGTTTCTATCTGTGATATTAAGTTTTCTAAATATTTATTTATCATTTTAAATACTTTTGAGTCTTTTTCCAAAATCAGATTATAGCAACCACATCCATAATCAGAAAGAAGTAAACTATCTTTTTCTTTGTTAATGAAAGTAAAACAAAATCTGTTAATGCTATTTTATATTTTTAGTTATATAGCTGCAAAAAGTCTCATTTACCTTGTAAATATTTTAATAGTCACTTACTAAAATGAAAAGATCATGTTCTCTTTCCTGAGAGTGATTCTGACATACCTCTGATAAAACTTCAAGGAAACCAAAAACCAAAAACAAACAGCAACAACAACAAAACAGAAATGTTGTGCTGTGATACTACTATCTCAATATCTCCATGGTACAGGAGTCTCATATTTTGGGTAGCATCTTTATATGTATGGGGAAAAATGGAGATAGACTGATTTTCTGCTTTAAATGTGAAGTGATTTACCAAAGACACTGTATTGTGGGAGAACAGAACCCTTAATATTACCTTAAGCAAAATATATAAGAAAATTAGAAACCATAAAATTATAGTATCAAAAACAATTGTGTCAACTGATACAGTTTTAACAAGTTCTTTCTCATAAATTAATTCTTATGTAATGAAAATTTTACAGAAGTAGCACTTAAATAAAAGATATACGTTTTTAATACTGTACAGGATTTCATAAATTGTTGCTTTGTGCCAAATCAATGGAAGATTACTATTGTTAAATTTTAGTTCTGAGAAAACTTCTTTTAAAGAAAATCAATGTTTGCTACTTTTAGGAATTTAATATCCTCCATTACTTTATAATTTAATATGGTGCATGTAGTCTAGAGCCATTGTGAAGAAATTTCTAATGCTCAGCCAACTTTAATAACTGAGGGAAACTAATAAAAATTTAGTCATTCTCCAGAAATTACACAATGTTATAAAGAAGGAAGTAACTGAAAAGCAGAGAAGTGACCTAAGTCTAAGTCAGTCACATGTCTTTGACTTGAGGACTGGCTAGGGTGGTTACTGATGGCTAACTGCTTTACTAGGTGGATATGTTAGATAACATACAACCACTCAGCATCATCAGCACAGATACCAACCAACTCAGCACACACAACCACAAATAAATATAATTTGATTCAAATATATGTTTATTGCTCAGAATATATAGCTACAGAAAGACAATGGAGAACCTGGAATGAAAGGATTAAATGCGGATGGGAGATGATGGAATTAAGGGAGGGAAACAGAGCAGGACAGCTAAAACTTAAGGCCATATAAGGAAGCCTATAACAATAGAAGCATCTTAAATCATATAGATGTATAAAAGAAATCTAAATGTGGTCACCGAATAATGGGTGGGACAATGCCCCAAATAAAACTTCAGTGCTAGTAATGGGTTACTTCTAATTCAGTTATTGTCCAAAGGGAACCCATGGGAACCCCCTAACAGTTTAAGCTATTGCCAAGGTTACTCTCCAGAAACTGATGGTAAGGAGAAATTTCTGAAGACAAAACTTACACATTCTATTGAATACAGAGAAGTTGAGCTAGTGCCCAGCTATAGCCTTTGCCCCCACTGGAAGATATTCTCAGCATAGCCAAATGAGAAAGGTAAACACCAACCTTGCTACAAATCTTATGATCTACAATGGAGATCTGCCTTCAAAATTTGCTGGAGCAATAATAGAAGAAAAGTTGTGAGTGTAACCAACCACTCTCTGATTGGATTTAAGGTCCACTCCATCTCCATGAGATAGAGTACATACCTGAAACTGCTTGTATGGCCAAGACATGAAACTAAGTAGATGATGGACCTAGGGTAAAACAAAATAGTATAGGAATAATATGAATCCTAATGTCATTTTGATATATCCATATAAAATTGTCTGTTTGGCTCAATCATCATAAGAGAAAGTACTTCCTGAAGTATGTAGAAACTCAGAGACCCACAACTGAACAATGTGTAGAGAGTGAGAGACTTTGGACCATTCATTCCTAAGTATGATGTCTTCATCAAAACCACCCCTCAGAGCTCATGGATAAAAGGAGAATAAAAATTTTAAGAGCCAAAGTGGGTGGAAGACACAAAGAAAGAACAGCTGGAACAGCAATTCTTGTGGGTTAC